GACCTACCTGGTCTGTGCCCCTCCATGAACTCAACGGGGCCATAAAACATCTGAGTCTTCGAGGGGGCTGTGGGAGGGCAAGGGGCTCAGGGGAGCACGCCCAGCACTCCCAGCCTATGGGTGCTGAGTGTGCCCGTTGCCAGGGTGTCTGGGCAGGGAGTGTGCCCATCACCCCAGTGACCGCATACAAGGGGTGTCCAACACCCTGGCATCTGGGTGCCAAGTGAGACCATCACCCCAGCATCTGGGCACCAAGTGCACCCATCGCCCTGGTTTCTGGGCACTGAATGTGCCCACCGCTCCAGTGTCTGGGTGGCAGATGTGCCCATCACCCTGGTATCTGAGTGCCAAATGAGACCATCACCCTGGTGTCTGCTTGCCAAATGTGCCTGTCACCCCAGCATCTGGGCATTGAGTGTGCCCATTGCCCCAGCCCACCCTGCCCATCGCCCGAGCCTCTTGGCACCAAGTGTGCCCATCACCCTGGCATCTGGTTGTCCACTCTTCCCCTCATCCCAGTGTCCAGATGCCCACCCTGCCCACCACCTCAGCATCTGGCTGCCCGCTCTGGTGTCTGGTCGCCCATCACCCCATGCCTGGGTGCCCACCCTGCCCATCACACTGGCATCTCGTTGTCCCCCCTGCCCATCACCCCGTGCCCAGTTGCCCATCCCACCCATCACCCCAGCCTCTCCTTGCCCACCCTGGCATCCAGTTCCCTCCCCTGCCCATCACCCCCTGCCCAGGTGCCCACCCTGCACGTAGAGCGTGGCGGTGCCCTCGTCCATGTCCAACATGTTGGAGCCAGTGCAGACGTAGACGCCGGCGTCCTGGGGCCGCACGCGGCGCAGGGTCAGGATCCCGTTGAAGTCGACGGCGCCGGGCGGCAGGGACCCGTGGTGCTGCCGCGTCCACACCAGCGTGTAGGCTGGGGACTGGGGGGACCAGCAGGCCTTAGCCCACGGGGACGGCCACAGGGACACAGGGTGGGGGGAGCTGGGGAGGGGGGGGTGCAGGCCCAGCTGGGCACCCGTGGAGGAGAAGTGGTGTCCCTGTCACCTGGACGTCCCCATGGGCACCCAAAAGTGTCCCGTGGCTCTGTGAGACCAGATGGACACCCAGAGTGTCCTGGATGTGCCCACAATTACACAGCAGTGTCTCCATACCCTGGATGTCCCCATGGGCACTCTGGGGTGTCCCTGTGATCCGGATGTCCCCATGGGCACCCACAAGTGTCCCTGTGCCCTGGATGTCCCCATGGGCACCCACAGGTGTCCCCTTCCCCCCATGCTCTGTGCCCCAGGCTGACCTTGCTCTTGGCCGTGCAGACAAAGGTGACATCAGTCCCAGGTTTCACCCGCTGCACCCGTTTCTCCTCCACGGTGACAGTGATGGGCTTGTCAGGGGTCTCTGCACCAAGACAGGACAGCTGAGCCACGCTCCTCCCCCTCTGTCCCCAAGTGTCCCCAGCAACCTACTGGTGACCACGACCTGCTGGTGACCATGACCTACCGGTGACAATGACCTCAGCGCGGCTGGCGTTGCTGTGCCGGAGGTTGCGGCAGGAGCAGATGTAGACACCGGCTTCGGAGGGCTGGATGCTGGGGAAGTGCAGCTCCTCACCTGGGATGGGGACACTCAGGTGACACCCCATCTCCCATCCCCCTCGGGGACACCCCGGTGTCCTCCCCCACAAGCCACCCCGTACCTTGGTGGCGGCTCTGGGCGCCCTCGGGGAGGGGTCGCCCGTCCTCCCGTGCCCAGTGGTAATAGAGGGGGGGGTCTCCCGTGGCCTGGCACCGCAGGGTGACAGCACTGCCCTGTGCCACCGCCGTGCGTGGTGGGTGGACACGGACGGCCAGGGGCACCCGGGGCCCCGCGGGGGCA